TTATCTCTCAGTAAAGGTGGATGGATGGTGTTAAAGGCACTGGAGAAGTCAAAGAATGACTCTGAATATCCTTTCAGAGTCAACTTTCGTATGTTTCATTATGACTTATTTATATGATATAGCATTTATATCATAATTTATTGGACGTTAGGATAATTGTCTATTATAGTTCAATTTCAGACCTGTAGTTTAATCTTATTGAAGTGACTTGAGATAATTCTATAGGTAAAGACATTGTCTTCATTACTGTTTTATAGATATGTTTAAAGTTGAAACTACAGTAATGTACTGTATTGTTCAGGCTCTAAGTTTAGCTCAGATGAAAAGTATTTAATCTAATAAAACGCTGGGTTTGATCTTAATTTGGCTTATGTTGTATGTATTTAGTTCACATTTTTCCCTTTTTATAATTGGATAATTTCCCCTTGTATAATTTTGTTTAATCCACCTAGAATTTTTGCCTTTTCTATATGTCACATTGTTTAACTTTGTTGTAACACTACAGATTTTAAGTTAGGCAAGTCACATCCTTGAGATGTCAAGAGCTATATTGCGGGTTCAATAATTATTTTAATTATTTCTTTTCACTGGAAGCTGATTCTCTTTCAGAAAGCAGTTCCTGCCTCCCCATAATTATATTTTTATCTTTTCCTGCATTCGCTGAATCCTTTAGTTATTCTTTGACTTTTTTTTGTGAGCCAAAATATCACCTAAATGCGTTCCTCTTTTGAAACTGCAGCTGGATGCTTAGGAAATTACTTTTCCAGCTTTTTTGCATTAGAAAGGATTTGTATTTATTTCTCATTTAAATTTACAAGTAAAGAGTTTACAGTTTGCAGGGATGGGTGTGACTCCATGAACTGGTCTTTCTATCAGTGAGTTTATATTGAGGAAGCTTGGTGACACAGTGTTTTGCATGGCACTGGGGCTCTGGTTTAATTCCAGACCTGGGGATATGTCTGTATGGAGTTTGTATGTTCACACCATGTTCATGTGGTTTTCCTCCAGGTGGGTGGTTTCTTGCATAGTCCAAACACTGGTAGGTTAATTGGAATCTGAGAACATTGGCCCTGGTGTCAATGTGTGTCTGTGTCTGTGTGTGCCCTGCGATGGACCAGTGTCCCACCCAGGGTGTATCCTACCTTGTGCTCATTACTTGCTGGGATAGGCTCCCTTCCCCTTGCAATCCTGTATTGGATAAAACAGTTAGGAAATGGGTGGATGGATGTTTTTTATTTTATTTTTTATTTTAGGTTACACTCTTGTGTAGTGTTTCCCTCATTTTCAGGATGTGCCTCCCCTTGGTCTGCCTGGGTTTCTGGAATCCTAGTGTCTTCAGCATGTGTTGGATGTGCTTGGGGGGGGGGCTGTTCTATGCTTTGCAGCAGAAGTCCATTTTAAATTAAACCTCTTTCATGTTACAATTGCACAGTACCTAAAAACTTCAACTGAAGTTAATCAAATGTCATCTTCAACACGCCTGTCGACCTTGTTGACATTCTTCTTGTACCCATGCCTTAAAAAGTTATATCAAAAAAGCCAAAATTGTTTTAAAGCTCTTCTAATTGTCAAATTAATTGTTCCTCCCATTTTGTAGTGTTTGGTATTCCCAGTTTAGATTGTGTAACCATTATGTTTAAAAAATTTCTTAAGAAATATACACCCCCCATTCAGAATTTTCACTTTTTGTTGTTTTATTCCCTGGAATTAAAATGTGTTAAAACAGTATATATATTTTCATTTACTGTATATCCACATTACTCTCAAGTAAAGGAAACCCTAGATTTTTTTTTATTGATTAGAAATAAAAACTGAAATTGCTTGGCTGGCTAAGTGCTCACACTCCTAAAATAGGTCGGGTATAACCAATTGTCTTCAAAACCTCACACCAAGGAAATTGGCCTCTGCCTGTTTTAAATTGCACTAATGAGAAGAGTTTTGGGATAAATTCAGCACTTCCTGCAGTAGTTTCCCTCTACTGCATATTGCATTTCAAAGCAAATACCAACTTTGAAGACCAAAAACCTCTCAGAAGAAGAGTTGTGGAAAGCCACACGTGTCACGAACAGTTCTTTCCGGGCCCTATGCAGACGACACGATCCAGAATTGTGAAGAAACACTGGGGAAAAAGTCATGCAGGAGAGGGTATGGAGACGGGGGCGTGTCCAAGGGGTGCAGGTGTCCAGGGGGAGTGAGTCCGGGGCGAACGATCCAAGAGGAAATCCAAATGGGTAATCCAAGACAGAAGGTAGTGTCCAAAACCAGGGGATCCATCCAGGAAATAAAACCATGAACCGGGTCGGGACCATCAAAGGGAGGGGAATCAGGAACAGAAAGTTAAAAGCATAACGGAGCCAGACGCAGCAAGACCCCAGGCTCTCACGAAGCGGGATTCAATAAGGAACCTGGGGTGATGTCTGCGTCTGGCTTTTAAGGGGGAATGGAAATCAGAAACAGGTGCAGGTAAAGGGAGAAAACAAGGAAGGGCTGGAGCACCCTTAAGAGGAGGAGTAGCGATCACAGATCAGGGAATGGGTGTAAAATAATTCAAAGACCTTGAATATCCCTAGGAATATGGTTAAGGCCATTATGAAGAAGTGGAAGGTGTATTGTGTATACAGCCAAGACCATGCCTAGATCAGATAGTCCCTCCAAACTGATTTACTGAGCAGGAAAGAGACTTATCAGTGGAAAATAGCTTTAAAAGAGCTACAGCTTTTTATGGCCGAGACTGGTTAAAGAATGCATGTGACAACAATATCCGAAGAACTCAACGATCTGGTCTGTATGACAGGAGGACAAAAAGGAAGCCATTATTCAAGAAAAACAGTGACAGAGCATTTAAGTGATACTTGCCAAATGTTTTGTTGTCTGATAATAACTAAAATGGATAATTTTAGCCTTAATGCAAAGCATTACATTTGGTGCAAACCGAGTTAATCTTTCAGCATGACCACAACCCAGAGCTCACAAAGATTGCCCCACTCCTGTTTAAGAAACAAAAAGATAAATGTTCCTGAGTGGCCCAGTCAGAACCCCAACCTAAATCCTAAAAAAAAAAACCTAAAAAAATTCTGGCTGGCTTGAAGAATGGAACTTGAATAAGCTTCAGTGGTTTTGTAAAGAAGAATGGTCAAATCTTGCCAAATCTAGGAGTGCAAACTTGGTAGAGACCCATCTCAACAGACACACCATGTAACTGCTGCCAAAAGAGCACACATCAAGTCCTAACCCATGGAGGTGGGGACTTACTCAATTATAATATTTCAGTTTTTTAATGTAGATTTTTTTTTTGCAATAAAAACCTTTTCCCCTTTAAAGTGTGGAGTATGGAGTGTAGATAAGAGGAAAAAAATCCTCATTCAAATGCATGAAACTCTGAAGCTCTGATACAACACAATGTGGAAAAAGTTAAAGGGGGTGTGGACTTTTTATAAGCACTATCACTCCTTTCAACACTGGAGCTTACCAGTTTGTTTTTTATCTCTTGCTATTTGGTAAGCTTCCAAAACCTGGACATAATGATTTAACACCCATGGGAAATAAAATCTTTCTGAAGGTTTGTGATTTTGTATTACAATTCTTTTTCCAAATGTTTATATAGGGGATTTCTTTATATATATTATATTGGATGTTAACTGTGAATTTCCATCCAGTCTGTCTATTGGTGTTAGCTAATTCACATTTTAGGGAATTTGATGTAGTGATCTGTGATCATTACTATCCCAGAACCTTTAATAGCTGTTCTTACTTACTGTGCACTAAAATCATCATCCATCAACAACTTGTTCATCTTCCCTGGTTAAACTGACACTTTTTTTCTTTTTAGTTCCACAACCATTTCCTTTTCAACTTCGTTAGTGTACATATCCATATCCAACAATCTGTCTTTTCCATCTGGAGGAGTCTACTTACGAATATTCCATTTAACCCATAATTAGCCAAGAACTGTGAGATGTTTTCCAATGTTATGTCTCTTTCCCCCTGTTCTTAAGCGTGTTGTTGATGTATCTGTTGGTTCATAAGTGAAATTTTATACAATGCAGATTTAAATATTTATCCTTAGAAATGCCTTTAGTCAAATTTTACTTTCCACAATAAACGCTTAGTTTGCTGTGTTAATCTTTAATGCATCTGATATTATCTCCATTTTGTAGCTTTTTTATTTGTTTGTAAATTAGCTATTTCTTTGCAATCTCTTGAGTTACAGCTATTAAATTCTGTTTTCTGCACTTTATGTGTAATCATATGAAGAGTTCAATGAATGCAGTGCCTAAGATAAAACATACAAATGGTAGTATTAATGTACAGTCAATTGACAGTGGAAAAAGTGAAAAATATTAGGAACAGCAATTTCTATTCTTAGCTGAAATGTGTGAATATCGGTGGCTCTGTGGCTAAGGATCTGTGCCTGTGGCTGGAAGGTTGCCGGTTCAAATCCCATGGCTGGCAGAGGAATCCTACTCTGTTGGGCTCCTGAGCAAGTCCCTTAACCTCAGCTGCTCCAGGGGTGCTATATAAATGGCTGCCCCTGTGCTCTGACCCCAAGCTTCTCTCTCCCCTTCTGTGTGTCTCATGGTGAGCAAACTGGATTATGCAAAAAGACTAATTCCTAATGCAAGAATGTGTATAGGGCTAATAAAGTGATCTTTTTGTGCATGATATTGATGTGGCTATGCTCAACAGTTTAGATCAGGGTTAAAAAAACAGGCATTATAATCTAGTTCTGGCCTCCTCTGTTACTTCATTTCAGAATGACTGGAATGGTATGAAATAAGCTTGATAAACAGTGAAGCCTGAATGGACATGTATGGACTGCTAAAGTAAATTGGCAATATCCTCAGTCATATTTACATTTGAGAAAATTAAAACTAATTTATCTTTTATTCTGTTCCATAGTGCTTAAATACTGTATATTAAACCCTTTCTATAGTATTAAAAAATCCTTCAGCTTCTAATGCAAACATGTGTAACAGCAAAAAATCTCTTTATTTTTGAAGGTCGAAGACATGGTTTAGGACAGCTCCAATTCTCTGAAGGGACAAGCTACACAGGACAGTTTGAGAATGGCTTGTTTAGTGGCTGTGGGGTCCTAGTCTTTCCTGATGGTTCAAGGTGAGTGCTTATCCTTTATCATCTTAAAAAAACACACTGACATCATCTATTCTTTAAAAATGTGTTAATCCCATACAGTTTTGTACTCTGATACTGAACGTCATGTGACCCCACACAAAATGGCTGAATTGGAAGGGACAATTCCCATGCTGGGTGGAGTCGCGCTGGTTAGCATTGCTACCTCACAGCGCTGTGGCCCTAGCTTCAAATCTGGACCTGGGGTGCTGTCTGAGTGGAGTTTGCACGTTCTCCCCGTGTTTGTATGGGTTTCCTCCCACAGACCAAACACATACTGGTAAGTCAGTTGGCTTCTGGGAAAATAGGCCCTGGTGTGAGTGTGCGTGTGTTTGTGTCGGTGTGTGCCCTGTAATGCATTGACATCCCATCCAGGGTGTGCCTGCTGCTTGCCTTGTTAACCCTGTCCGTCCGTCCCCGCCACTCTGAATTGGATGAAGCAGTTAGATATTGGATGGACTTTCCATGTCTTTTTGATAGTGTCAGGGATACACCATTCACCCTAAAGTGCTGTTTCTTAGTGCCCTGAGAGAAAGTGGTCTCAGGAGTCTCTCTCTTATTGGTCACTCCTTTCCGTTACTCAGAGGTCTTCTAGGGCAAGTGTTCTCCTCCACCAGTCCGCAACGTCAGGGGTTCCCAATCCAGGTCCTGGAGGATGATGCTCCTGTTGGTTTTTATTCTCACACCAGCAACAGTTACACATTCAAAGTTTAATTGACTTACAGTAATAGGACTATTTTGACCTAATTGCTTTCACCTCTTAAATTTGTTGAAGGCCACCTTTTAACTACTGCATTTCATAAGCAAAATAAAATGCCAAAATTCTGAGTAGAAACAAAAACTATTCCAATAAATTGATTTCTCATTCAATTAAGACTTCAGTTAGGTCATTAGCCTTAGCTGAAGTGAAAACCAGGACTAGAAGACAGAACCCCAGTGCTAGCTCCACCTTTAGTCCTTGGGCACGGCTGTGTACTCTGGTTCTTGCCCCAGACAAATTCTTAATTGCAGGCAAACTGATCTCTATTTTCTGTTTTAGTAGTGCTTTCAAATTCTATTTCAGCCTTTAAAACATGGTACGGGCTTTGCAATTGCTATCAGCCCTCTGCCAGTTCCTGAATTCCAGAAATGCTGGTATTCAGGTGTGTTAGCAGTAATGGAGGAAGTGACCATAACCAGAAGGAAGAAACTCTGATTGTAAGCCTGTCTAAAAGTCACTCCCTCTGTAGGCATGTGTGATCCATTGCCATTCGGACCCATGTGTGTTCATCATGATCTGATCTCCCATCAGGAGCTGTTTACTCAGAAATAAAGGAGCAAATTCTTAATTAGAGACTGAGTGAAGTTCTGTGTGCTGCGATTGCTGGAAATAATATACTTGAAGAAGGGTATTTATGAAACCAAGTCCTGAGTGTAAACAAGCACGCAGATCAATTACACGCATCAATTGGCATCAGTGATTAAGGGCCCAGTTGGAATGAAACCAGCAGACACAGCAGTCCCCCAGGACCAGTTTTGAGAGCCTCTGTGCCAGATGACTTAAAACAATAGGTGTTTTTTATGCATTTATGTGCAAGATGTTATTGGTAGAGCGCATTTGCAAGAAGTGCAGTAAAAGGAAGCTCTTGCCACCTGTCTCAGTGGTGTCTAACAGTTGTTACCTGCTGACAGAAGAAGGCAATCAGCTGCTAATTATAGGTTTATATGAAGCTGCAGTTATATACCAAGGGAACAGCGTTTGTAGAACAGCCACAGCAAGAATAGAAAACTAAATCCATGAATGAGTCAATCTTTTTATATAGAAGCATAGTCTTATCTTTATATATTCTATAACACAAAAGTAATTTGAAATAAACAGACACAATTTGACCGGTAACACTGTCCCATGCATTAACAGCTATATATATATATGTGTATGTGCTAGAAGTCACATTCTTGGTGCATTATTATTTGGCTCTATATAAAATGGTGAGCAGGGAAAAAGAAACAACATTTACACAAATATTCTTTGGGTGGCATTTTTTTTTCAACAAAAGTGGAAAAACAAATTATTGGGGTGGAAGCAGCAGTGATTATGACCATGGAGATCAGGTGAGGAAAAGTTCAGGACGAAGGAACAGAAAAAGTCAGTCAAGCATCCAAACATTTAAGCATTTAACCCCTCAAACATTTAAGCTGTGCCAAAATGGAATCCACATGTGGTAAGTTATTAACCTGACTCTGGGCATGTATTAATGTATTAAAAAACCAAATGAAAGAAGGTAACCAGTGAATCATAATAAGTAGTAGTAATAATAATAATAGCCACAAAGCAACGGCAGCCAAAACGTGTCAGTATGCTCACCACACATCAGCTATCAGTGGGGAAGAGAACAGAGTCATGAAGCCATTTCAAAGATAGTAATTATTAGGAGGCCATAGTGGGGGAATTTTGGCCAGGACACCAGGGCACTAATCTTTTTGAAAAACGCTGTGGGATTTTGAATGACCACAAAGAATCAGGACATTTTTACATCTCATCTGAAGCAGGGGGCCATTTTTAGTTATATAATGTCTCCATCACTCTACTAGGGGCATAGTATTCCTGTTGAAGGCCAAACCAATCCAAAACCTAACACTGAAGCAAAGGGTGTAAAGGTGGGACATCACTGTTGATGGGACAAGTTCACCACACATGCATGCAGGGACAATTTAGAGACACTGATTAATTCAACAGGCAACATGGTGGTGCAGTGGTTAGGATCGCTGCCTTGGAGCACTGGGGACCTGTGTTCAGTTCTTCCTGACCTGGAGTAGGTACGTTCTCCCTCAAAAGCATACCGGTAGGTTGATAGGTTATCAGGAATTTGACCTGTTTTTATGTCTGTCTGCCCTGTGACGCAATGGACTAGCGTCCTGTCCAGGGTGTATCCTGCCTTGCTCCTGTTGCTTTCCAGGATAGGTTCTGGCTGCCCTCTGACCCTGAGTTTGATGAAGTGGTTAGAAAATTGATGGATACACTAATCAAGCGAGCATGTTACTGGGAGGTGGGAGGAAACCAAAACACCTGGAGAAATCCCACATGTACACCCAGGACTCCAGAGCTGTGATGACAGGAGCTATTACTGAATCTCATAATTAAGAAACAACCACCGCAGAAGGATTTGGTCTTTTTATCAGACAAGAAAGGTAAAAGTAAAAATTCAGTTTGTATTGTTATCTTCCTTTTCTCTGTGCCCATGCAGATACGAGGGAGAATTTGTGCAGGGGAAGTTTCAAGGAGTGGGAGTCTTTACTCGATTTGATGGAATGAAGTTTGAAGGGGAGTTCAAAGGCGGACGTGTGGAAGGATATGGTAATATTCTCTAAATATTGTCTCCTGGCTGTTCTTTCACTCCAATAGTTGCCAGTTTTTATGAAGATCCCTACACATTTCATTTCTTTTGCTAGGGAACAATGAAATTCTAGGAGCGTAACAGGAGCTGTAATACTGAAATTTCATAACATCTGACTCAGTCTTTATTAAAACAGTCAGGCACAGAATATTTGACTTGAGATGCAGTCCTGCACTTTCAGTAATAGCAAATGCCTTCTACCAACAGAATGATGGAAACCACAAGGTTGGCACCAGGAGAATATATTACACTTGCAAGACAAGTAGAAACATAAGAAAGGTTACAAATGAGAAGAGGCCATTCGACCCATCCTGCCTACTGTATATTGTAGCTAGTGGCTAATGGATCCGAATATCTCATCCAGCCTTTTTATGAAATAAGATGGCTTTTCAGCTTCAACAACATGGCTGAATGTCCTGTGCCAAGCTCCCACAACCATTTGTGTAAAGTAGTGCCTCCCGTTCTCAGTTGTAAATGCATTTCCATGTCATTTCCATTCATGGCCCCTGGTTCCTGTTTCACTGTTGGTTCTGAAACCGTTCCTTGGGCCTATTTTTTTAGTTTTGTAGAATTGTAGTTTTCTCTGTTTAAGACTAAAAATGTTTCTTTAATTTGTCGGTTTAGGGCATTCCTTTAAGCTTGGGAATGTATCTGGCTGCTCTTCTGTGGGTAGATTCTAGAACAGCAATATCTTTTTGTTGCTAGTGACTAAATCTGTACACAATATCCTAAACCTGGTCTAAGTAGCAGTAGACACTACATACAAAACCTACAATACAGCCCCACCCACATAATTAGAATTACCATTCTTTCCATACACTGACCGGATGTCACATCTCAATCAGTGTCCTTACCGCTGAACCCTTCACGTTCTTTGCCTAAGCAAGGAAAGGTGTTAGGGCCTCATAATAAGAGAGGCTACAGGTTGTTAAGAGTTGCTAAAATGCTAAAGTGCCTTCAGATCAGATCTTGATTTGGGCAATCTGAAAGTACCCCCTCAGACATGAGCTACATTTGTATTTCTTAATCATTAAAAATTAAGCCGCTGAATGCCCAGAGTATTATTACAAAGAAAATGAGATGTTTGTGTTGATATTTTTATAGGTGTGTGATATTGAGTTCTGTGGTCCTCTAAAAGTGTAAAATAAGATCTTGTCTCAGCTGTTCTACAGGGATTTATCAATAAAATCACCCTGAACTCGAGGGAGAAGCATTCGATAGCGAGATTCTTCCGGGTGCCTTTGTCTGTTTGAAAACCCGCACTGCGGTTTGAGCCCTGTAATGCCACTCGGTTCAGCCGGCATTTCCTCTCCACCCGCGGCAGGGCTGCTGACCTTCCCCGACGGCGCCCATGGCGTGCCCCGCAATGAGGGTGTGTTCGAGAACAACAAGCTGCAGAGGCGAGAGAAGTGCCAAGCCGTGATCCAGAGGGCACAGGGCTCGGCCGCCGTGGCCCGCGGGCTGTGTGTATGACGGCAGCGGGGGAGCCCAGGCGCCTGAGGGCCTCAGGGATGGATGACGGGGTCGCTCCCTTCTCTCTTTTACCTGGTTTTCATCCCCCGCCTCGGGCTGTGCCTGGGCTCGTTCCCCCAGCGCTTCTGGCTTCGTCTCATAAGCGCTCGGCGGTCAATGCAGGCGCCGCGGCCTGGGCGTCTCTGCAGTTCATCCTTCATATTTCCTCCGTGCCGGCAGGCGGGCTTCAAGCCCAGCCTGCCATGGGATTCCACAGGGCTTTGCTTCTTAGGGAGCTTTTCAGTCCACCACAGTGCTATGCCTTGTCATATCAAGGACTCCTTCTCAGTCCTGAGGTAGGAGAAAGCCGTCTTAACTGGATTGTGCAATTCTACACACTGCCTCTGCCTCCCGACCCCGCTGAATGGGTGGAAGGGCAGTAGGAGGGCTGTCATCCGTCCCTGATTGTCGTATAGCAATCGCTGACATCCACACTGCTGGAGCCATTCCCTTGTTCTGCCGCTGTGCTGGGGCTGGTAGCTGTGTGATAACTGAACAACGCCAAGTGCCTGCAGTGCCCTTTGGGGCTCCTCCTGTTCAGTCTGACCTCTCAGAGTGGAAATCATTTGCACGTGTGATTGGATTTGCCGGGCCAGGATTTGGCTAGTAAAAGGATCGCTGTCACCTGGTCAGAAAGGGGTTAGAGTGGACCTGGCCGCTCGCACCCGGACCACTTGACCTGACGTGATTTCGTGTCAACAGGAAAGCGAGCAGTGTACAGTGTAAGTGGGCATTTTTTGCCTGATGGACGCTCTTGGCCACTTTAATCGGTTTCACATGAGTTTGTTTTTTGTGAAAAAGAGATGGCTTGAAATAGCTTGCTTTATGTTTTATGTTGGCAATAGAAACATGCTTTGAACATTTTAATATGATTGTCACCTGTATCACTTTTGCCTTAATATTGTGTTTAAAAATTATATGATTTGCTTATAGTTAAGGAACTCTTCATGATTTCCTGCTCTACTCTGGCCTTTGAAGCATGCAGGAATGGGGAATGCATGGATAATTCTTGTCCAGGCTCAACTGAAGATTCTTTGTTTTAGCCTAATATGCAAAATGTACTACCATAATTATTAACTAAACCGAAAGTGTTGCCTTTATATATACAGGGTGCTCATATAGGCCAAATATTTGTGACACGAAGGGACAATATTAAGTAAATTAATTACTTTGAATCAGAAATCCATTACATAACTGCCCTGTAAGACACTTAAAATGTAGGTTAACAGGAATTTCCATAAATGTATATAAACTAGAATGTATTGTAATAAAACATTGCATAATTCCAGCCTGTTTTAGAATGTAAGATATACACCATATCAGCAGAGGAAGAAGCAGTCTACTGAATTAAATTTAATATCAACTAAATTTGAAGGATTGCATTACACAGTGTGTAAAATAGATATTTGAATTGACTTTAGGAGAGAATTATATCCTATAATTTGTTTTGATGTTATAGTCTGAATTCATCAATCATTTCAGATTTTTTTAATGTAGATGGTCGATAAGTCAAACTAAGATTCCTGTAGTCCTTTCGTTGAACAGAGTTCGCTTTTGACCCGGGAATGTTCCGGTTGTTCTGTAGTGCTTAATGTGGAAGAGTGCTTTATGTTGGCAAGCTCAAAAGATGTTTAATTATACATTGCTTATGTACTTCAGCAACATGCTTCATACCAAGAGAACAGACCATCATTCACAGTATGGATGTACAGTAGTTGCAAGTATTTTAAAGTGTATAAAGGCGAAATGCTAAACAAAAATGAACGCCTTTATACGTTTTCTCTTTAACAGAAAAGAGAAAGTGTCATAATACAATTGAGCTGCAAAATTGTAGTTCTTTGCACCTTGCACGCTTTAGTAAGCATTACTTAATAACCAGAGCGCCACAGTTATCCTTGAGCACAGCTTGTAATTGAATATGCATAACAAAAAGAAAAGGGACTCATTGCAAATTAGTCTGCTGCAAATAAAGACTCAGAATGAATTAAAATTCATCAGTGTGGTATACTGCAGATCAGGGATTCATACTGTATATTGCTGCCCCTCCATTCCACTGCATTGCAGAAATGTCTATATTTTATTAAATTAAATCAAGGGTTCTAATGTTAAAACTGTGTATCTCACTAGTAAGGCTTCTTTTAGAATATTGTGTAAAATTTTGGTCACCACATAATAGACAGAGAAGAGTAACCAGATGGATAAGAATTTAGCTGATTTTAGGATTAAAGGAGTTTCTTGAACTGACAGGGATCAGCCCTGTTATCTGCAATAATTAACCTCACATTAAGCGCATGCATTGTAGAAAAATTTGTAGGTGATCTAAGTACCTTACAGAATGGCTGTACTAATGCAGCAGTAATTAGCTCTGGGGGGCTGTAAATTAGCATTATACATTTGTTTATACTTACAGTTTTGGACAGATTTGAAACTGACAATATTTGTTGCATTTTAATGCCTTTGTGTTGATCTGTTTTTATCATTTATTGACTGAACAAGCAAGTCTGTGAGGCAAAATGAGTTTTCCATGTCCTTTCACTAAAATCACAAAACACACACACAGATGCAGAGAAAAGAGTAAAGGCGACACGAGCAAACCACCTTATGCAGAAAGATCTGAACCAGGAACTGTAAGCGGTTTCCATTCTCTCATGTTTTGGGATCTTATTGCTCCTTCCAGTCAGCATAAAGTTTCACCAGGAATGAATCACCAGACAGCTGCTGCTTAACTCTAAGACCTGTGACAGTCTTGCTCGAGTAAATGTAGTGCTAGTCAAGACAAAAAGAAGTGTTGAGCTAAAGGAAATGTTTGTAATGTCATAAAGCTAGTGACAAAGATCTGCCAACTAAACTCAGTCTATAGGGCCACATTAGGAACAGATGCCCTGTTAATTGCTATTCAAGAACTCCTTATCTTTATGTAATGCTTTTCATCCCAAAGGATCCCAAAGTGTTTATACACATAGAAGGGGCCCCCAATCATCCCCCTTTGCAGCACAGCCTCACTGCACAGCAGATGAGCTGGAAAAGCGAGACATGACTTCACGAATTATATTAGGGGGAAGAACGTGAAGGAGGGTACATCAAGTCCAGAGTGCAACGGGCCATGGGATCTGTAAATAACAGATAGGTCCTTGTTTTAACATCTCAACTCAAGGATAGAACATCCTTAAAGCAATATGTCCCAGTTAATCGCCATGGGGCACTGGTTTGGACATAAGGAAGAATGCCACCTGCTGGTCTACCAGTACCATTTACTGATCTCCCATACCAGTGCTGATCATTTCCGGCCTTGCTTAGCGAAGTAGAAAGATGTGATAAAAGATGGCCTAGTTGAACAACATCAGGCCAACCGCCTCCACACCTTCCACAGTTTAAAGATGACACCTGCCTGGTCTCAATGTGTAAATAAAAGGGAGACCAAACCTAAATTCTTGTTCGACTAAGCAGTTATTTATATGTGCAGTGGCAGAGAAATTTAATAGAGATTATCTACCGAACCTCGTCTTAATGCCAAGTCATAATGTGCAACTTTCCCCCAGGTACTGAAAGCCTTTGCACATGAGTGAAATATCCCAAAAGCCTTAATTATACACCTTCGTCCCACCAGTGCAGTTCTTCAGAACACAAAGACCTTCCATTTGAGTCTAACTGGCAGTATCAGTAAATTGCTGATTTTAAACCCCTACACAAGTTATAAAAGCCGTCAGCCCAAGCATGATTGGCCTCATAACTAGCTCTCAGCTGTGCTGCACTCCTGCTGCTGACAGCAAATATGCGTTGAGAGTGTGTGTAGAGAAGGGTGTGTGAGCAGGGAGGGGGAGGAGGGGTAGGAGCTCGTGCCCGGCTAACAGGGCACAGCTATCCATAGCCACTCAAGGTCACGCTTCCCATAAAGAACGGCACTTAGCACAAAGCAAGGCGCTTCTTTTTAGCAACACTGCTGAGAACTGCAGGAGTGGGAGACATGAACTACTACTCCTTAATTCTACCTTTTGTGATTGCAGTGCCAGACATTCATCGCTGACTCTATAACATAATAAAGCCTATTCATAATCAAGTCTCAATGATGAACAGAAAACGCTCGTTCTTTGATGAAACTGGATTAGGTTTTTCTTACAATATTTTGAAGTACGTACTTTATTTGAGTTGTTTGTAAAATGAAAAAATAATTTCTATTGTCCTTCCCCTATACTAGAATAAATTCAGACAATGCCTTATGCATATAAAGAAAACCCGTAAGGACTATTCCTCTTCTAAAAATCCAATTCCATCCATCTGAGTTCTGCTAATTCTGAAAGGCAGATATAGTACCTTCATCCTTGGCCTTTGGATCTGAAAGACAAGGCTCCAAATGTGCCTGTAAATGAGGTTTTTCCAAGTCATGCTTTCCAGCACTGATGCGTTCTGATGACATTTTTGAAATGACCCATCACTCATTTCAACTCTTAACCTCCTCTCCTGCAGAAGACACAATACTGTAAATGATCACACCCAAAGCGAGAATTGTGATATGTGGAACTTGTGTTCCCAGTTCAGATCTCTTTCAAAGGTGGAGGGGGGTTTGCCGATCATCAGAGAACATTTGATATCTTTAAACGTGACCTAAAAAAAACCCCAGCTCTTCAAGGTCATTTTTTTAGTAGTGCTTTTTTTATTGTTGGTAAGTTGCAGAGAACCGCAGCCAACATTTTTGTTTTTTTATAAACAAATTTGCTGGAAACGGTGAATTTCCAGAAGCTGAAAACTGGTAAGAGCCTGCTTTAAGGAGGGTAGGTCATGCACAATGCAAACAAGGGAGTTAAAAAAAAACAACTAGCAAATGTACATTTCTGGTGATTGTAGCAAGCTTTCTAGAGCGTACCAAAACAACAAGTCAAAAACATTTTTTTGCAAAACCTAGAACATACTTAGAAGTTCAGGGATTTTGGACTATGGACATATTTTGCAGGCTTTAAATAATTCTTTGGAATTTGCTGACATGCTCTTCTCCCATCACAAATTAAGCTTAAAGGTGTGTTTGACTGGACTTTAACCTGTGTGCATATTGTCATGGTTACCATTTTTCAGTTCCCTTAAATTGTGTCATCTCAATGTCAGTGCTTTAATATGCCCAGCAAGTCACCACGGTAAAGCATTAGCCATCTCAATTTTAATATTTTTCAGAGTTCTCATAAAAAGATCTCTCTTGCTTAAATATTCTAAATAAAGTTAAGGTCTGGCTGCCGTCTGCTTAGACTCTTAATTTATATATTACAGCAGTTGCTCTGCAATTTCCATTTTCCCTATTATCCCATCAACCTGGTTACTTAATGTCCTCGAAGCTTTTAAGATGCGGCAACAGTGTTTTTAATTGCACCGCCTGAAAATGGCCATTGCGATCAACCTTGAAAGATACTTAAACACGTTTTTTTTTTTGTGAAATCAACTGGCTGTATCGAAAGCTCTCTGTTCCTGTGGATGAACACTGCTAGGTTGGAGAAGGAACTGTTAAATATCATGAAAAGAAACCATTGACATCTATTGCTTGTCCTCCTGGCCAGTGGACAGATTCCGGGCGCTGTATTCTGTTTTATAAATGGCAGATTAATGGTTGCCCTCAGACACTGCACTTGTTTGTTTTTTTCCCCCATGACTTTTTTTTTGGGGGGGAAAGCATTTGAGTTATGACTGTATATGCATTTTTTATACATCTATTTGCGCTATTGTTTGTGCCTTGGGATTGTGCCTCATTTTGATGAAAATATTGTACATTTGTACATCCTGTCTACCCAGAATTCCTAGGGAAAACCCCTCTGCAGCAGCACATGGCAGGAGCCAGCCCTGCGAGCCGAGCCTCTGTTAAATACTGCATGGCGGCAGTGTGCTCTGCCTTTGCCGGTAGGCGAACTGGGAGATCCTTAGTAGAAGTTCATTCCCATGAACATTAGCTAAGAGATCTTTGTGGGTCCAAAACAAAGAGCTGCTTTATGCCAAAAGCTTTTTTTATGAGCTGAATTTTATTCAGCTTTTGACTAGCGAGTTTCAGACCGGGAGATGCTTTGACGGTTGTCCTGTCAAGTTTTGACTGGGTGGGCAAAAGGCTCCAAGAGTGGGACGCTGGGGACACCTGTGGGGGACACCGACATTTCATACATCTTAACCGCATCATCGCTATTAAGGGTCCGCTGCTCGACTGTACTGTTGAGGACGTTTGAGGTCTGAAATGAACATTTAACATATCTGGATCCGACTTGACTTGTCAGTTGAAATGGGGACGTGGACCTCACAGAAAGAGGCGATTTGCAAAGGGGGCGGACTGTCGGAACAGTTTAGAAATCTACTGATTAGTCTCCTGAAAGAGCACGGTAAATCTGTACAGAGGGCACCACTCTTATCTTACACAGCACTCAGTCATGTAGCTTTTTTTTCTTTCGAAGGGGGAGGGGAATCTTTTTAGCATATGGTTTTCAGTAAGGCAAGCAAGAGCAGAGAGGTCATCACATTGTGAGCAGGTTTTAGTGCAGCTTTTCAGCTGTAACCCGTTGCTCAGGTTTTTGTCGTGCCCGTTTTGGAACTGGTTACCCTCCCTCCCTCACCTTTATCACTGAAACTGTCATACTGTAGGATTTTAAATCTTTTTGATATCCCAGGGGTGACCTTGGTGGTGAATGACTGGTGCATATATTACTTGTTTCCCCATATGTAAACCACAGAGCCACCTAGTGGTTGACACACTATATTGTATTCTGTAGCTGCCACTTGGAATGCACGTCTGCTAAAAAAAAAACAAAAAGAGTGCCGTTTCATTTTTTTTTGCAACGTGTGCAACTTGCTGTGATGTGAAAGCTTTTACACCACTGTAAACAAGGAGAAATTAAATTAATTTACAGACCAACAAAAAAAAGTGCATCATTGTGTTTATCTGGCTCTTTGGATCGACAACACAAACACGTTAAGCGGTTGTCTTTTTTATATTGGAAGAAATTTAATTTCCAAATTAATTGAAATTGTTGAATTATGTGAGATTGTTTACATTTTAAACCTCTCCTTATAAGTGACAGATCAGAAGAAAGACAAGTTCTTTTTTCAAATCAGAACAAAGCCACAAGCAGCCTCATGTTTCTGATTTCTCAAATCCTGCTGCTACATCCTACCCTGCAGCCACACCACCTCTCCTCGACCACACCCCGTCTCATGTCATTAAGACGCCACGCGTCTCGTCAGGCTGCCGACGGAGAGACACCCCCCCCGCACTTCCTCCGCCCGTCCTCCAGGGGTCGCCCTGCTCACAGCCACCCCTGGGAGGAGAAGTCGTGCTGCAGCTGCCTGAGCTCGGCCTCCGAGAGGGGCTGCAGGGGTGGGCGGCACACCCCTCCGTGATACCCGGACCACTCCATCGCCTGCTTCAGGGCCACCACCCCAAACTTCCGCGTCACCTGCGGGGGCGATGGGACAGCACAGGTCAGATGCAAGCTCATTTTTTTCCCCACCCGCCCCCTCCCTCCAAGACGATCGAGATCCTTTAACGTTACAGTTGCAAAGAGAACAATGGCAGAGAATGACATTGGGGGGCCTGTACATACGCACGGCGAGAGTGGTACAGGAGGTCCGGCCTGATACACCCCGCTGTTGCACTCACCGCAGTGTTGGGTTCGATGAGCCGGTATTGCAGCTCCCTGGCCTCCTCCCACCGGCCGGCTAGACAGAGCTGCTCGAGCTGGCACACCTGATGCCCCAGGACGTTGGCCAACGCACACACACCTCCGACCGCCCCTGCAGCAGACAGCCAAGCAGAACGAGCGAGAGGTCAGGCCAGCGTGGGAGAACGCAGCCTCCCCGCTGAACCCCCCCATGCGTCACGGCCTAGCCGCTCCTTCACCGACCACATTCCTCCCAAGTCCTCCTGCAGCGCGAGTGAAATCAATACTGCTGTGGCTAGCAGGTCTGACTGTTCACTCTCCATAGCGTCTCAGTGCCGGCTCTCCCAGAAGAGGTTAAATGTGTCGCTCCAATCAGAGGTAAAAGATCTTTTCTGCCCACAGCACCCTGCCTTTTACATGGATGTGCAGCCTTCCTGAATTCTAGTCCCACAAATCTGAGGCTACAAAAAGCAGAACTGCAATGTTAGAACATGATAATACCATCATGTAAAGGCCCCTTCTTACAGGACATCCTTTGTTGGGTATGGTTAATCTATTTCTAGCTTTCCAACAATATTATACAGTGCCTTGCGAAAGTATTCGGCCCCCTTGAACTTTTCAACCTTTTGCCACATTTCAGGCTTCAAACATAAAGATATAAATTTT